GGGGGGGGGGGGAACTCCGCCGTTTACGGTTTTCGAGACCGATCAAATTGTGCTGGACGCCAGGGAACCACGACAAATTCTATTCTAGGTGGCTACTGCATCTCCGAAAATAAGCAGAACCCTTAGCACACAAAGCCGATCAGGCATGACGTTGTTGCCAAACCATGCTTGCTTGTTCTTCAACACGACGGGGTGTACTTCCTGCATTTGCCCACGTGCATGACTGAGAGACGACATCAACCTGCATGCCCATCCATAAAAAACCCTCATCAACTCCGACGTTGTTGTTCTTGTCCATTTTCATCACCAGCTCGGGTAGGAACAACACATACGCAGAACCATATTTCCACCATCACGCAGGAATTCAAAAGAGGACCCGGCTTCAAAAGTCCAGGGAAATCACAAGACTCTGGCGCGGCGGTTGGTTGTGCCGAACCATACATAGGTTGCCAACTCAGCTTGGATGACAAATATAAAAACCAGGCCCACAAAAAACTCGTGAACCCCGCTGGGCGTAAGCTACAGCATTCGTGCACGGTTGAGCGCCACCATGCCATCGCAAGCTTGGAAGCCCGAAATGTCCACCATCGACCTGCCGTTGTCGCCACCTTGTATTAAGTACGTACGTCGTGTACCACGTTCCTCTCTACTACTCCGGAGTATTTTCGTACGATACCTTTCCTATTACAAGACGCCGAAGCGCGCCCAATTTGGGCGAAACACGACAACAACGGGGGTAGGGTTGGGTTGCGCTGGGTTGTTTCCCGCCCTGTTCTTTACTCTTCGTCGTCGCTGCTCAACGCGCCCTTTACCTTGTCGGCGCCCTGTTGGAGGTGGGATAAATGCACACGCGAAGGGAAAAAATGATGAGAAACCAAGGGGGGAGGGGGGGGGAGGGGGCAGGAGACAGGGCGAAGTGTGTGAGACGAGGTGAGGGGGGCAATACACGAGACACGCTGTTCCACCACGTAAGGATATCAGCAGAAACATTATCATTCAACCCATCTTTATGCTGCGCATGCATACCCTGTAAGAAAGTTCATTGCTCAACAGCATGCGATCAACTTCACGCGCATGCGTGCATGGCCCTTTTTGGATTCGACACATCGCGATACACGACGCACACAGAACACGTACGCACCTTCACCACGCCACCGGCGACGCTATCGGCCGCACCCTTGACCCCGCTGGCGGCGCTACCCGCGGCCGACTTGGCGCCGCTGGCGGCGCTTCCCGCGACGTCCTTGACGGTACCCGCGGCGCTGCCAGCCTTGTCTTTGGTGGCCTCGGCGGCCCCCTTCGTCTCGTCCTCGACGGTGTCCTTGGCGGACTCTGCGGAGTCCTCGGCGGAGCCCGCCACGTCCTGTGCTCCGGCCTTGAGGTCGGCGGAGGCGTTTTTTCCTTTGTCGAGCGCGTCCTTGCTCTTGGAGCCCACGTTGTCCACGGCGTCTTTGGCCGTCTCAACGCCCTGTGTTTTTGGGGGGGGGGGGGGGGGGAAAA